GGAGTGAGAAAACACCAACATATTTCTCCTGTTCTGGCCAAACTGCACTGGCTGCCCATCCGTTTCGCATTGACTTCAAAGTTCTAATGCTTACCTATAAGGCCCTAAACGGTTTAGGACCTCGATACTTGGTGGAGCGCCTGCTCCCACCAAGATCTAATTGGATCACCCTCATGAGTCAGGAGGTGAGGCTGAGGAGCCTGACGCCGAGGGAGGCCCAGAGGGAAAAGACAGAAGCCGGGCCTTCTCGACGGTGGCTCCTCGCCTTTGGAACAACCTTCCTCCAGAAATTTGCGAGGCCCCAACGCTGGATACTTTCAAATGCCAACTGAAAACATGGATGTACATCCAGGCCTTCCCTCCTGTCAACTACTGATTTCTTTGCTTTGCTATTTATTATTTATTTATTCCTGCACTATTTGTTATTGTTGTATCTAATGTTTTTATGTTTTTTTAAAAACTGTTTTTGATATTCTGTAAGCCGCCCAGAGTGGTAGAATATACCAGATGGGCGGGATATAAATCGAACAAATAAAATAATAAAATAAATCTAATGTACACCAGTAGCTCATATATGGGTGGTTAACTTCCCAGTGGTGTAGGGGCTGCATTGCTGCCACTCCTGAGAATCATTCACAAAGTATTCTGTTGCTGTCAAAGAAATTCCCTTGCCAAAGAGAAAGGAAGCTTGGGGGGGGGGGATGTCAGTTGCTACTAAATTTCAGCAGGGCAGCACTAGTGGCAGTGGCAGATGGGGGATGGGGTAGATGTCCCTAGCAATGGGGACAGGGGCACATGCAGGACACAGCTAAGTATCCTTTCCTCCATACTAAAGGCCATAAACACACACAACGCAAACTAATGGACTCAACATTTCTTCTTTCCATTTAACTGTACTCTCTGAGTTTGCTGCATATGTGAATAAATGGATAAAATTGAATGCAAATACCCACTGCAAAATAAAAGCAATTTGTAACTTGGTAAAGCAACATACAAAAAAGCCATAATGGGAAATTGTGAAGAAATACTGCGGAATTAAAGATAGTTTGAGTAAATGGTTAAAACATAAAAGTAATGCACCAAGGAAACGGGCAAGCTGCAAAGAATGTGCAAAAATAGCAGTGAGTTATAAAATGAAATATTGAAGTGCGGTTATCAAGAACACATTTTCCAACACAGCTTTAAGAACAAAGGCAATGCATTAATTGACATTTCAATATAAACTTGAAAATCAAAATGAATCATTTCTTAGCTATTTTAAAAATCATTTTAGAGTTCCAGCCATTCCAGCAACATACCATTTTAGTCTTTAAGTGAACAGAAATCCAATAGTTATTATTCTAACAAGGAAGTCTTAATGGGTTTTCAGATAACCACTTCATTCATGGAAATAATCCCATTTCAAAAAATGCCCTGGGGCAAATGTTATTGTTCTGTAAAAATCCAAAGTAAAATAATATTCATAAAACAGTAAAAAAAAAACAACCCAAGAATTGTATTGGGAAAGAGATAAACATAGCTAGAAGACAAAAGGGGAAACCCAACATGCACATTCCAATAGAAATCTGTGCATATTCTCAGTCATCCAGGTGAGATGATGTGGAAGTTGAAGCATGGCAACTGGTCTGCTTTCTTGTTGGGTTGAAATATTTCACTAGTTATCCAAGCAGTTTCTTCAGTCTGAAGGTAACTGAAGAAGCTCCTTGGATGAGTAGCAAAACATTTCAACCTAACAAGAAAGCAGTCTAGTTGCCATGACTCAAGTTCCAGATCCCAACAGAAAAAGGAGAAAAACCAAAGCAACAGGAAAACTCCAAAGGAAAAGTAAAAAAGCCCAACAATATCTTTTCGATTTTTTTAGAAAAAGGGACTAGAGACAAGGCCCAAATTTAGAAACACAAGGCAGGAAAGAAGGCCATCTCGATGAAAAAAAGTTTTGTTTTTGTTTGTTTGTTATCCCGCATACCTTCTGGACTTTTCACAGTAACAACAAAACCCAAGACAAAACACAGATTAAGAACAACTCTAGCTATTTTCATAGGAATGGCTAGAGTTCTTGCACATCACAATTTCCAACTAAAATTAGGGTCTCCTTTTTAAATTGGGATTACTGACAAGCAGGTGTGCTATCAGAAGCCATGAATTTAACATGGCTAATGAGAAGATCCAGAGGGAAAAAATGAATCCAAGAAGAATAACATGTAAAAATCCAGTGTTTGAACATCAACTTAGAGATGTTACTCAGAAAAATCTTCCTGTGCTCTATCAACCTGTATCTAAATGAGGAAAGAGTGTATATAAACTGAGAGTGAAGAGTTGAAAGTAGTCAAAACTGCAGTTCTATTTATATTCATATCTATGTATTTGATTTTGTTTTTTATCCTAATTAATTGCTTATCTTGGCTACTTGAATATAATTAAAATATCAGCTCTTTCTCCTTAATTAACAACCAGACCCCCCAAAAAAAAAACATTGCAAGGTTTTTTTTTGCAGTGTCAGTTTTAGTTGGGTGTTATCTAAACACAAATAAATTATCAGTAAAAGTTAAGTGCTCTAGCTAGTTTTGAAGCAAGACCTACATTGCCACTAACCATCTCAGCTTCTTGACCAGAACTTGTCTTCAGTGTGTACCAAATACAAGGACAGCTTCTTTGCTTTCAGTTTCAAACTGGAAGAGAACAACAGTGGCTACATAAAACTACTGTCGCTCTCAAATTTTGGCTCAGCCTAAACCTGCACATATTCATTTTCTGAATATACCTTGTTCCATAAACAGAGCCCAACCAATACAAAGATAAGAGTCAGAATGTCACTAATTACATGTGCCAGCACAAATTCAACAATGTTAAATCTCAGCACAAATTTGTTGAACATTAAGAAGTCAGGGTCCGTATTAGTTGTACCCTAACTGCACAAAGATATGGAGGCAGTGACAAATTTTACTTTCTTGGGCTCCATGATCACGGCAGATGGTGACAGCAGCCACAAAATTAAAAGATGCCTGCTTGTTGGGAGAAAAGTGATGACAAACCTAGACAGCATCTTAAAAAGCAGAGACATTACCTTGCCAACAAAAGTCTGCATAATCAAAGCTATGGTTTTTCCTGTAGTGATGTATGGAAGTGAGAGCTGGACCATAAAGAAAGCTGACTGCTGAAGAATTGATGCCTTTGAATTGTGGTGCTGGAGGAGGCTCTTGAGAGTCCCCTGGACTGCAAGGGGAACAAACCAATTCATTTTGAAGGAAATCAACCCTGAGTGCTCAGGTCCATGGGGTCACGAAGAGTCAGACACAACTAAATGACTAAACAACAACAAGCTGCACAATTTGGCATATCGTAAGAAATAACAGTACCAACTCCTTAACTAGCAGCCATTTGCCATTGACATTTTTGCCACTGAATTTAGCAGCAGTGGGGTAAGTATTCAGTTATATTCTGAATGCTTGAAGTCTCAAGATCCCCAAATGTCTTAAGCAGTATAATACAGATTTATTTTTGATGCTAAGCAGTTGCCTTAGTGCCAAACTATGCATTCAAAAAACCATAAAAGCATAGTGCTTATACTCCCATAGTTCTTAAAACACCCTCTCAGCAGTTTACAGTTTAATTGTGCAAGCTACATATTGCCCCCCACCAGCAAGTTGGGTGCTTAATTTACTGACCTTGGAAGGATGGAAGACTGACTGAATATTGAGCCGACTACCTAAGTTTGAACCTGGGCCATGAGCAGAGTTTGGGCTGCAGTACTGCAGTTTAACCACTGCTCCACAAGGCTTCTATAGATAAACAATAATTTGAATTGTTATTTTGATCTTCTAGAAAGATGACTGGGACTATCATCCATGTCTGAGAAATCGGACATGCAAAGAAAGAATGCCCTTATGGCCTGAAGACCAATCATAAGAGAAAGCAATCCAATTTGCCAATCACTGGAGTAAGAAAAGCTCCTGCTCTTCTAATTAATCCACTCTTCTAATTAATCCATAAGAATGATTTGAGAATGTCATGTAGGCTACTTTGTGGTAAATGGAAGAAAATACTAATACTCCCCCCCCCATCAGTCAAAGCTCTAGTTCACAACTTGCTATCCATAACCTTCAGCTGTACAACTTTCCTGATAAGTGGCAGAGCTAAGTTACTGTGAGCAGAAAATGTTCATTATTTTATAGAGTGGTCTTTTAGACCAGATGGTTGGGGTATAAATCAAATAAATAAAAATAAATAAATATTTTACTAGTCTGGTTTTTTTATTCTGGGTTAAGAGTTCTACCTGCTTAGGCTTGCTTCCTGCTAAGAAAGTTATTAATAGGTATGACACTGCACTCAATGGTGCTAGAATCCAAAGTATTCCATTTATTTTAACAATGCATATTGTTTATTTTTCTTCCAGCTCTGTGTTTCTAGATTTCATGGCTGTCACCTTGCCAAGCATCAAGACTGTCTGAGGAATACTATGGCTCACCATGGAATGCTGCATCATGATTCTGCTCTGACCTCTGCTTCTGTCAGCTGTCATCGTCTAAGCCACGCAGCATCTGGGCATTGTTTGGAGCATGAATTATTCAGCTATCCAAAGGTATTAAATATGGAAATGGCCCGGTAGTGGCTGCATTTTGGGCGGTACTGTGAGTTGGGAAGTTCTCCTGTACAAGTCTCAGGAAAACAGATGGAAGCTGTCTTGAAGCATAAGAAAGGTCTCCAGGAGGGGATCATATTCTTGAAACCTTCAGAAAACATTTCTTTTGTCCAGAAAGAACTTCAACAGTCCAATACCTTCCTTTTCATTTATCTGCATAAACAAAAAACTGGACTTCTATGGGGCAGCTCTGTATTTCTCATTGTTGTTCATTATAAATGGGAAGTAGTTACAGCTAGTTCCCTGAAGCCAGTGACTCTTAACGTTTGTCATAACCCAGTCCTATGTAAATCAATTGGCCTACTCTTGCTATGATTGTCTGGATCGTATCCCTTATTTGCCTGGCAATACTTTGATAAAACCTATATTTGATGCAGGTTGAAAGAACTGGCAGTTTCCAGAACTAATTTTCTATAATGTTGCATTGTGAAGGTTTGTACTTCTAAACTTCATGCAAAGTAACTTCAAATTCTTGTGACATAGTTATTTCACACTTCAGTGAATCTACATTCCCGAAGGCTTTCACGGCCGGGATCTAATGGTTGTTGTGGGTTTTTCAGGCTCTTTGGCCGTGTTCTGAAGGTTGTTCTTTCTAACATTTCGCCAGTCTCTCTGTCCTCTGAAGATGCCGGCCACAGAGACTGGCGAAACATTATGAAGAACAACCTTCAGAACACGGCCAAAGAGCCTGAAAACCCCACAACAACCAATCTACATTCCATTACACATTTTTGAGGTATTCTACATGTTCACACCTAGTCAAGCAAATAATATCAGCTAAAGCATCAAAAGGAAATACTTTTTAAAAACTATTTCCACTTCTTCACTCAGGTAGGCAGTGCTAGCTTTTAAACCAGTCACAGTCCCATAAAAACAACTGCTCACATTGGAGTCCCCTCCCCATAGCTTCCTTTTCACCCAGCCCTTTTTTTAAACCTCCCTCTGGCCAAATCCAGACTTAATCTCCCACCTGAGCAGGTAAAAGGTGGCAAAAATGCTATCAGATTGGAGAAGAGATGTATGTATCAGCTGTTCTTGGCTCCCCCCCCCCAAACTGGTATTTTCATTTCATCTGCATTATTTCCTCACTGGTACTCTGTTTCCCTCATCAGACTGTGTGTCATCTCCACCTCCATCTCTTCCTACTACCATGGAAATTCAAATATTTGCATGGTTTTGTGAACATTTCCCATCCTCCAAAATGCAATGGTGGCATCTAGTGCAAGCCTGAAAAAAGGTAGGGTGTTTGAGAAATATCTCAAACCTTATGCAAGGTAATGATGAAGGTAGGGCTACATCATCTAAACAGCCTGTGTTTCAAGCTACATGGGTAGTTGCATGATTCATGCTAATAAGCCACAAAAATATTCACTGCCTTGCATTTCTGCCCCATGAGGAATTGGAGACAATGGAAATTAGCTTTAGTCTTAATAAATTGGAGGAGAATTATCTGTTTTATAAGAGTTTAGAAACAAAAGATTGCTTTCCCTGCTTAAATGCTGTGCTGAGTGACAGTAATTAGTGAATTTTGTAGTCACTGTGCTATAATGATTAATTAGTTGTAACACTTCAATCCATCCTCACTTCCACAAAACCCCTTTGATCCTTTCCATGATATGAAGTGTGCTTTAAATCATACAGCATGCCTTTTTTCTTTGCTCCAAGACATTGCCAATTTCCTGGCCTCGTTGCAATATTTATCAAAGATCTCAATTATATTCTGTCCTTCACGTTTGTTCGACTGCTGACCATTTGCTGACCCAGTAACTCAAGCTTGAGATTTGTGGGGGGGAGGGAGCTTCTAAAATGAAATGAATTCAGTTTTAAGAAGGGTTCTCATCAGATGTCTGCAATGGACTCATTTGAAATTAAAGCAGATAAAATGGGATAAATCAGATGAATAACAGACTGATGAGGTTTCACGGTCATTTGCAAGTGGTGGAGTCTCCAACTCCAGGCCAGGGGTTGGAGACTTTGCAACTTCCATGCATGTGCACACTGGATCTTCCAGATTGGCTCCATATTGGTAGCATCCAAACAAGGAAGCCAAGCCACACACTAAAGGAGAAGGCCAGTTTTCTTGTCATCCTTCCAGTCACTTGACAGTTTCATGCATGGAAGAATCAGATAATATTGACTCAAATATTTTGAATACCAGGAATAAAGGTCTATCTTCTATGTCATCTCTTTCCGTCTAAATATCCACAATTCATTTTCTAGCCATTTATGGGAAGCAACGTGGAGCATTCCCATTCCATCAGACTTTTAGAAAACAACACATTTAAGAGCTGGTTTTAAACTACATATCATTGGTTCCTTTAAAGGAGAAAAGTGGGGTAGAAATATTTTAAATAAATCATAAAAACATTTCATTGCTGCCCAAATGTTTTATGGTTTCATATTTTACCCTTGACATTTTTTGACAACGCAGTATGTATTTAATTTGTATTTTGTTGTTACCTAAGCTTTGATGGGAACTGCCTATAAGCAGGTAAGTGAGAAGTAAATAAGCAAATAGTGTAAGGGAGACCTGTTTCTTAGTTGCTGTTATGTGCCGTCAAGTTGAAACCCACTTATAACAACCTTGATAGGGCTTTCAAGATAGGTGAGACATTTAAGGAGTGGCCTTACCAGTGCCACACCCCCAGAGAGCTTCCATGGCTGAGTGGGGATTCGAAACCAGGCCTCCTGAGTCCATCACTCTATCCACTACGCCACAGGTGTGCATCACTTGATTACTTGGTACTTGATGTCTGTCAACTGCAAGTATTAAGTGAAACTATTGAACAGGACTATGTTTGTTACATTGTGCCTTTGATGGCAGTTTCACCTTTTGAATGAAGAACAATTATTTCCCCCAAACTTAGACTGCATAGATTATCTTCCTGTGTATTGGCGGTACTGATCAGAACTGTTGTCTTTGTCACACTCTTTCTTTGGTTAGAGATGCTTGCAATGCTGGGGAAAGAAGATGGAAGAAAAAGGGGGAGGTTTTTTCAAGGTACTGAAACATGAGACCTCTAATGGAAGGAAATACTTTATTCGGGAATAGCAAATTAACTTTCATTTGCAGTACAGTGTAAGTACATGAATCAACAACGAAGGCAGTTATTTTGATGCACAGGGGCTGCATACAATACCAATGCAAAGGACCCACTGAAATGTAAGGAAACAGAAGTGACTTTTTTGAGTTCTTAAGACTGAATGGAACAAGAAGCAGGAAAGGAGGAGGAAAGAAAACCAAGAAAGTACAAATAGGCTAGTCAGTAGGCACGGGACAGAGAGTGCATATTGAATGAATTACACTTGCTGCTAGTGCTGCCTGTATCCTGTGACAAGGAGGATGTTGGAACAAATTTCTCCTCTTTTGCCCTTATTGCTAATCTGTTAGTAGTATTTCTGCTTAATTCAAATTTTTTAGTTGTTTTGAGATCACCTGAGATAAATTTATTAAGTAAGTATGCAACATCAACTGCACAAATATATATATATATATGTCTGAATATATATGTCTGAATAAATACATTCATGTCAGGGTGTAAGAAGAAATCAAGAAATTCAGACATAAAGGTCTGACATTACTATTGAACGGGAATGCTTCCTGGTAACCGAGTACAGAGTTGGCTCTGTAATCTTTCAAATCCATGTATTCTTGATTTCTTCTTACACCCTGACATGTATAGGGAAGCTAGAGGAGAACCCATACTTGGTCTGCTCACGTTTCACAAAGCATCCGCATTGTGTCTCAGGTATACACAGAGATGGATGCCTTTTTTAAAGCTCTATTCTTCTGTTCTCTCTCTCTGCTGTTGTTTTTTTTTTTAAAGAATGGGTTTCGATAATTACATTAGTATTGTATTATACCTCCCTTTCCTGAAACAAGCACCATATTTCTACTATGTTAATTTTCAATTATGGTATCATTTCAAAGTTATAGAAGAATTGTAATATTTACAATTTACAAAATTTACCAAAAATATTCTAAGATTGTCCACTTATAATGATTTTTAAATAACCATGACTGGAAAAGATTTTGTAAAAAATAATGTTATAAAATTATAATATTATAATTTAGGACTGATATTACAGTTCTACATCCCTATTTCATATATATTTTAAGTATTCTCGCTGGAAAAGAGTTTTAGGAAGAGTTAAAAGGTCAATAGATAACCAAACATGGGGTCATGGAAGATGGTACCCACTGCGAAGGATATAATGAAAGTATGCTGAACTTCAATTGGCTCCCTCTTCAAAAATTATGCTACATTTTTTGGGGTGGACAGACCGGAAATGTATACACATGTACACAGAGCTAAAATGCAATCTGATAGTACAGAAAAGCAGTTGTCATTTACAATTGAAAAGAAATAGTAATTCTGGGGGGCACTGATCTAGACATAGCCCTGGACAGATTTCTGGATCAGAAAAAGGGAGTAGTTATCCATTTTACCAAGTTGGAACAGCATAATATGTGGATATGGTGACCAAAATATTACCAGGATCCTATAGCATGGATTATATTTTGCCTCTGCTTAAAGAGCTTCATTGGCTACAAGTTTATTTGTGTGTGTGATTTGGAGACCTAGTTTTAACACTAAAAGCCAAAAGTGGTATCCATCTACTCCCATATGTATTCAGATTGTCTGTAGAGCCTGCAAGTGAAATGCTCACAGTCTCAGAAACAGTGAGGCTGGTCACTAAAGATCAGCCTCACTTATTTGTGGCACATATACTACAGAGTGCCCTCCTGTGCATGTCTGCTGCAGGCTTGCATTGTTGATGTTTTCATCTTTCTGTTCATTTAGTTTGGCCAGGTTTATGTGTTTGGGTAGTTCTTGCATTTTGTTGGCTGTATTCTAGGTTACTAAAGATGATTGTTGTTGTTGCCTGCTTTTTTCACTGAAGTTTTGTTGTTTTATTGTTTTATATTTTTCTAAAGATTGATTGATCTTAAAATGAATAATAATTCGCCTTGGAGACCTGACAGGCATTACAAAAAGCATTTTTAAAGAAATGTATGTACATACAATCACACATACTAACTGAGAGGAACCATGTCTTACCTATTTGAATGGAACTGTTAAAGCAAAACAACAACCTCCTAATGATTTATTTCATGTGAATGATAGATATAATACAGTATTTACCTTGTTAAAAATGTTGTATTCTGTTCATGTTGCAGGAACAACTACATATGCTTGAATTAAGAGCAGCTTTGACAGAACAAGAAAAACATTTTGAGGTAGATCACCCATATTCATACTCAGAGATATAGTTTCTCCCTTTGATGGCAATTTAACTACCTGTGATTAAGCATCATGAAGGCCAAATGTAGCATAACCTTTTCAATGCCTTGTTCAGAAGAGTTCATGCTTAATATCTGAAAACAGGAAGAAAACAATCTTCCTTCTTCATGTGTCCACAGGTGAGTGCTAGAAAGAGAGGGAGATACTGGAAATCGGTCTATGGCAGGAGTGTGGAGTCTGCCTCAGCCCACAAAGTGATTTCAGTTTCAGTCAAGTTCTCAGGGGTCACATACTATGTTTAAAACTTTTCCTACCACTAACAAAACCTTACAAGAAGAACTGAAATCTGGTTACATATAAGGTGTCATCAACATTTAATGCAGATCTGTGTTCACTTTTGGCCTCTAGTTTGACAATGCGCGCATGTATTTTTGGTGGTCCATGATATCCATAAAGCTGTCCTCCAAATGCAAGTTTGTGCTAGGTTAAACCAAGCATGAAGTCTTTCTGGAAGTGAGAATAACCAGGCTGTCATACTTTGTGCACATCATGAGAAGATAAGACTTGTTGGAAAAGACAATAACCCTGGAAAAAGTTGAAGGCAGCAGGAAAAAAATACTTTTATTAATTTAGTACATTTTTGGTCTTTTGTTTTTCTTTGACATGGAGTGGAAGGCGAGCCTCCCCCCGTGGGGGTCCTTTGAACATCCAAGTGATTACGGGTAGAGGGAGATATGGCAATTGCACAGTTCCTACTCATTTCAGAAGAATGGTGAACAGATGTTTGAAGGCTGTTCACTGTTCTGGCAGTGTGAGCAACCGTCAGTCTCGAGGTAGTCAGATCAGCCATCTGTCCACTCTAAATCTGGTGCTGTTGAATGCCAGGACTGTATCCAACAAATCCCAGGTTATCCAAGACCTTATTCTGGAGGAGGACGCAGACCTGGCATGCATAACCGAAACTTGGATGGGAGGGGAAGAGGGAGTTCCCCTGACTCTTGCCTGTCCTCCCAGTTATGCAGTGCAGCACCAGGGTAGACTGGAGGGGCGGGGGGAGTAGCCATTGTTTACAGAAATACACTGGATGGTTGTTAGGCGCTCTATGGTGCTGAAGTCACGTCTGGAGGCCCTCCACGTGTTGATTGGGAGGGAGTTCCCCTGACTCTTGCCTGTCCTCCCAGTTATGCAGTGCAGCACCAGGGTAGACTGGAGGGGCGGGGGGAGTAGCCATTGTTTACAGAAATACACTGGATGGTTGTTAGGCGCTCTATGGTGCTGAAGTCACGTCTGGAGGCCCTCCACGTGTTGATTGGGGCCGGGGATGGGATGGTTGTTAGGCACTCTACGGTGGTGAAGTCATGTCTGGAGGCCCTCCACGTGTTGATTGGGGCCGGGGATGGTATTGGGATTTTTCTGGGTTACCGCGCTCCCCATGACCCAGCCAGTTCCTTACCAGAGCTGGCGGACTTTGTCTCCGCAGCACTGTTGGAATCCCCGAGGCTTTTGGTCTTGGGTGATTTTAACATCCATGCGGAGGTGGAGGTTTCCGGTCTGGCTCTTGAGTTCTTGGAAACCATGGTTTCCTTGGACATGTCCCAACATGTTAATGGCCCCACCCATATGGGTGGTCACACGCTAGACCTGGTGTTCTCCACTGAGCGAAGCAAGTGTGGTCTGATGGTAACTGATCTTGTGTCAGTTCCCTTGTCATGGTCAGATCACCACCTAATAAAAATGTAACCTCTCAGTGGGTCTCCCTCCCCACAGGGAGCAGAGACCTATTTTAATGGTCCACCCTTGAAAGCTACTGGATCCTATAGGATTCCAGGACTCCATGAGAGAGATTCCAGCTGATCTGATTGGCACCCCCTTCGAGGTTCTGGTTGATGGCTGGCTTGCTGTCGCCACCAGGGCTATTGACATGATCACTCCTAAACGTCCTCTCCATTGCAGAGCTTGGCCAGCGCCCTGGTTTAACCAGGAGCTGCGAGCCATGAAGCAAAATATGAGAAAGCTGGAGTGCATTTGGAGATGGAACCCACCAGATTATAATCGGAAAGCTGTTAGGATCATGACTAACCACTATCTTTCTAAGGTGAGGGCTGCTAGTCGAGCTCATTTCGCTGTCCAGATAAGTGAAGCTTCGAATCAGCAGGCGGAACTTTTCCATATAGTTTGCAATCTATCTGGAATTGGTCTAAGTGATGGGCCTCCTACTAATATCTCACCTGACCAATTTGCAGCATTTTTAAAATCTAAAGTGGAGGCCATCCTCTGGGAGCTCTCTCCTTTTTTGAACACAGTAGATCAAGCAGAGACACCCTGCGCTCCACCTTGCCCAATGAGACTCGATCTCTGCGCTCCACCTTGCCCAATAAGACTCAATCTCTTTCAGCCTTTGACACCAGATATGGTGGACAAAGCGCTTGATCGCTGTTGTGCCACCACCTCCTCCCTTCACCCTTGCCCGGCCTGGCTAATCAAAGCAGCCAGGCCTACAACAACCGAATGGGCCACGGCAATAATTAATGGGTCTCTCCAGGAGGGCAAGGTTCCCCTTGCCCTCAAGGAGACACTCATTAGGCTCATAAGGAAGAAACCGAGCTTGGCAGTGGACAACATTGGCAATTATAGGCCCGTCGCCAATGTTTCTTTCCTCAGCAATGTGGTAGAGATGGTGGTGGCTGACCAGCTTCAAGCTCTTTTGGATGAAACCAATGCCCTGGATCCATTGCATTCGGGCTTAAGGCTGTGACATGGTACAGAAACAGCACTGGTCACCCTGTTTGATTACCTGCTGAGGGAGGCCAAGAGGGGCCAAATGTTTTTGTTGGTCGTCCTCAATATCTCAGCCGCCTTCGATACCGTCGACAACTGTATCCTCCTGGAGGGGCTCTCCAAGCTGTGTGGTCTGGCATTTGTCTGGCTCCGATCCTTCTTGGAGGACCGTCATCAGAGAGTACAGCTTGGGGAGAGTGTATCGGCCCCATGGAGCGTCAATTGTGGGATTCCACAGGGCTCGATTATCTCCCCAGTGCTGTTTAATAGCTACATGACGCCACTGGGTGGGGTCATCAGGGGGTGTGGGGCTTTGTGCCATCAGTACGCTGATGACACCCAGCTCTATATCTCCTTTTCTCCAACCACAGTGGATGCCATTCTGTCCCTTCAGCGCTGCCTGGAGGCTGTACTGCAATGGATGGAGGAAAATGGACTGAGGCTGAACCTGGACAAGACGGAGGTCCTGAGGATGGGTGGCTCCTCCATTGTTGGTTTGGGAAAGTCCCTCTCTTTTGGGGGAGTGACTCTCACTGCGAAGAGTGAGGTTCACAGCTTGGGGGTCCATCTGGAATCAGCGCTCACCATGGAAACCCAGGTGGTGTCAGTGGTCCGCTCCACCTATTTCCATCTCAGTTGGATTGCCCAGCTGTGTCCCTATCTTGATGTTGGGGAACTCACCACTCTGGTCCATGCTCTTGTAGTCTCGAGAGTAGACTACTGTAATGCGCTCTACGTGGGGCTACCTTTGGGACTGATGCGGAAGCTTCAAATGGTGCAGAATGCAGTGGCCAGAATTCTCAGTGAGATGAGAAAATATTTCCCCCACTCTGGCTGCCTTGCATTGGCTACCTATTCATTTCTGCATTGATTTCACAGTGTTAATGATGACATATAAAGCCCTAAATGGTTAGGACCTCGATATCTAGCAGAACGCCTGCTCCCACCTAGATCTGCCCGAATCACTCATTCTAACCAGGAAAGGCAGCTTCACTGAGGGAGACCCAGAGAGAAAGAACAAGAAACCAGGCCTTCTCGGCAGTGGCCCCTCGCCTTTGGAACAGTCTGCCCCCAGAGATCTGTCTGGCTCCCTCGCTGGGTGTTTTCAAGAGCAAACTGAAGACCTTGCTCTTTAGGCAGGCTTTCCCTCCTGTCATCACTTGAATATTTTTCCTATCTTGAGCTATATTACTACTGTTGTTTTTAATTTTATTATATTGTTTTATTTTATCTATTATTGTTAGCCACTCAGAGTAGACTTCGGTCTAGATGGGTGGGGTATAAATTTAAACAAACAAACAAACAAACAAACAAACAAACAAACAAACAAACAAACAAACAAACAAACAAATAAATAAATAAATAAAAAGGAGAGAGGAAGATGTAGCATGGGATGGATTCACTCAATAAAAGAAGCCATGGACTTGATTTTACACAATCTAAGCTCTGTTAATGCTTGGTCCTTTTAGAGGTGACTAATTCATAGGATTGCCATACATCAGAAGTAGAGATGGGGGCTTTATATTTGTAGATGAATATGAAGCCTGCCAGCAGAGGTGGCCAGCCCAATTACCTCCCACTGCCAGAACCCACTGGTCCACTTATGGCATGGTGTGTGGTGTGCCTGGCCAGTGTCCTTGTCAGTGAGCGAATCATGGCCGTAGTCCTGCTGCTACAGCCCCATCTTCCTGCTTGCCCAGCCACTCTGGCAAGGGGTGGGAGGACGAGTCTCCCCACTTAGCCACAGAGTGGACTGGCAGGTTCTTGGGGCGGAAGGAGATAATTGGGCTGGCCATCTGTGCCGGTGAGCTTCATATTCATCTACGAATACGAAGCCCCCATCTCTAGTCAGCAGCTATTTAATGGTATATAGCAAGGAGAAAATGGCCTAGGGCAAGACGAAAGTTTTGGTCTGAGTGCCACTAAGGACTCCAAGCTCTGGTACACAGTCAGGATACCATTTACACAGTGCAAGGCTTACAAGATGGAACACAGAAAATATAGAATCCGCAACCAGATACATGCTTTCCATAATTCCCAATAAAAGACAAAATTGCAACTAGGGTAGGTTCATTGAATTTTTGTCAGATGTTGCACTCATTTATCTTTGGGCAAATAATAAATACAATATTTTTTCTTTTCTTTTTTTTCTAATTGACTGTACCGGCACAGCTATGGAAAGTCTTAGTTACATGAAGGGGGAAAAAGAGAGAGAAAAATAAATAAGAACGCAACAAGACAACTAAAATATAGACTTTAGAGAAAGTGGAGGGAAGATTAAAAGCAGGATGTAGGGTGGGCTTGGTTTGTGTCTTCTGATGAGTAAAAAGGGAGTGGCAGAAACTGAAGGGTGACATCCTCCAGAAATCACATCTGCAATTTCTTTGAACATTTTGAATTTGATCAGCAATGTTAAATGCAAACTTAAGGGCTGACATACAGTGGAATCAGGACAGGGATGTGTCATATGCATTGCCAGCAAAGAATGGGAATCCAAGAAGAAATGAACAAGGCATGTAGATCTGACTTTGATTACAGTATTTCTAGAATGTTTGTGATCATGGGGGTCCAATGTGGGGGGGCAAGAGAGAGTGCTTGCTTCCCCCTCTTCTGGAACCTTAAACTTGGTAAGTTTTTACATTTATACTGGTAAAAACTACAGTCAGATCTATAGGTCTCATTAAAAGGCTTTGCTCCACCTAGAATTACAGTATTTCTGGAAATGCCCTTATTTGTAACGAATCTGCTTTTCGAGAATACAGTCTGCTTTTTCCTAATACATAGTTACAGGCCTAACTGTAAGAATCCAGTGTGGATAACTAACCTGGTATTAAATTGTAGAAATAAAGAAATTGTCCACATAAGGATTTTTGAAGCAGCAGTAGCCTGAGACAATTTATATGCATTATAAAATTTTATAAAAGTGATCCCTGCATTTTTGGATAACAAGTGATTGCAAACTGAAAGAAGTTTTTTTTTCTCCATTAGAACTTGACAAATCCTGAAAGGCTTTAAATATGTGTGAGATGGGCACAGCAATGTGTTTATTTTCAATTTATAACGTATGCATGTTTTGACTTTTAAGAGACTACAGATGAAAATAAATCACTTACAAGATGATCTCAAGAACTCTGAGCTACGCGCTACATTGTAAGTATTGGTAACTAATGAAAACAAATGTACTACAGTGGTGCCTTGCTTTACGATTGCCCCGCATTACAATGAATCCGCATTACGATGATCTTTTTGCGATTGCAATTGCAATCGCAAAGCGATGGTCTAAATGGGGGAATTTCAGTTTGCGATGATTGGTTCCCTGCTTCGGGAACCAATTCTTCACAAAACGACGATTTTCCAACAGCTGATTGGCGGTTTCAAAATGGCCACTGGGTAAATAAAATGGCTCCCCGCTATGTTTAGGGACGGATTCCTCGCTATACAGGCAGCGAAAAGGGCCACCGTATGGAGGATCTTCACTGGACGGTGAGTTTTAAGCCCATTGAAATGCATTGAAAGGTTTTCAATGCTTTTCAATGGGCTTTTTATTTTTGCTTTACGATGTTTTCGCTTAACGACAATTTTCCTGGAACGGATTGTCGCCGTTAAGCGAAGCACCACTGTACCTGATTTTATACAGTATGTGATAAAATTAGAGATACAGAAGAATTTCATTCAGTTCACTTTGTTAAAAATGAATACCAGGTGTTACAGAGAACCTGATACAGTCTGGTATGACCATATACTTATTTGCAGGGGTGGGGACTTGAGTCACAGGACTCACTGTCAAGTCAGATGTAAGTCACACTAGTGACTTGGCTCAGACTTGACCCTTTTTTCCCAGTGACTTGGAATTGACTTGTGACTCAGAACCCACCTACCCCTCATTTTTCTGAGAAAAAAGCTTGTTTTTAATAGGGACTCAGACCTCGGGCTTGGGACTCAGGACTAGGTTCCAAAGACTTTGAGTCAGATTTTGACTCAAAGACTTGCCATCAGGATTTCTTAGTTGGTTTGATAACTGTGGTATATGTTCCGGCTGTAAGCCAGCATTACCTTTTTGGAGCCCTATCTATTCCAGGCACAGTTTTAAGCTTAAATGGCTTTAGGTCTTAGCTGCTTCTGAGCTCCACCTTTGTTATGTAGACAATCCCCCATTTTATGACTCACCACTTGCAGAAAAACTTCTGTCAGCAGATCTGTGCTGCAAACTCTTTTGTATGATAATAACAGAGATTGCTGGGTAGACCTGGCTCTCTCCGCAAATGTTCATAACACAGACTACAAATGTGCTTTCATAATGAGATACAACTCAGTCTTCAATTTAAAGTAGATCTTATTAAGGTTGATTATTTTGTTCAAGTTATTGCAACAGTTCTGTACCTTAATATTTTATTTCTATAGACAGGTAGAGGAGTTGAAGGACTATCATGGGTCATGGATGTGTGAAATAGATGTGGATCATGTAGGATCACAAATGAACAGAACAGGCAAAAAAAGTTATGTGTACATATGGCAAAAAAGTAGTAATGATAAAAAAACTGAAGATGACACAGAAAACATACAGAAAGAACATGAAAGTCTTGAAAAGCAGAGTCCTAAAGTGGTACCCCAAAATAATCTAAGCAAGGGATGGCTTGAAGCTTCCATAGAAATGCTCAAAAAAAGAGATTCTAAATCAGCCGAAGAAAATGTACTGGGATGGCTTCAAGAATCCATGGACAGACTCAAACAGAAAGGGTCTGAAGCATCAACACAAAGTTTGGAAGAATGGCTTACAAAATCCTTTAACAATCTTGAGAAGGAATGTTCCGAAACTTCCAGACAGGATGTGAAAGAATGGCTTGAAGTATCCATAAGTTACCTCAAAGAAGAAGGGCCTGACACATCCCATATGAACATCGAGGAATGGCTTGAAGCATCCATGAAAAGCATACAAGACCTTCAACAGCAAAATTATGAAGCATCCAAAATGAATATGGAAGCAAATTGTGAGGAGGTGGTGCCAGTGCCTCTATGTTCCAAACAGTGTATAAAGACCGGATGGCTTCAAGAATCCCTGGAGAATCTCAAAACAAGAGGCTCTAAATCATCCAGAGAGAATGTGCATCAATGGCTTCAAGAATCACTTAAAAGTCTTAAAGAGCAAGCTTCTGAAGTACCCCAAAAGAGCCTGCAGGAGTGGCTTAGTGAATCCATCAGGAATCTTCAAGACACAGGTCTTGAAACATTCAGGCAGGATGTGAAGATATGGCTTGAAACTTCCATTAAAAATTTCCAAGAGGAAGGGCCTGAAACATATTGTTTAAGTGTGCAAGAATGGCTTGAGGAATCTTTGAAAAGCCTGCAAGAAGTATCAAAACAGGATGTACAGGGATTGCCTAGACCATCCATGGAAACCCCCCTACAGAATGGTTCTGTAGCATCTATAAAAGGCCTCAAGAAAGGAAGCACAGGTGCATCTCATATAACTGTGCAGGATCAAAGTATCATGGAAAATCATGAAAAATCTAGACTGAATGTGGCAAACTGGCTTCAAGAATCCTTAAAGAGCCTCATAGATGAAGGTCCTTTGGCATCCAGGCAGAATGTGCAGGAATGGCTTGAAGAATCTTTGAAAAGTGTGGATGATGAATATCCTGAGGCATCAAGAAAGGATTTGAGGGAATGGCTTGAAGCATCCATAAAGAGTTTCCAAGAAGGAGGTCCAGAAGTACCTGGGCAGAACTTGCAGGATTTCCTAAAGGCATCAATTATGGACATTATAGAGGAAGAACCTGAATCATGTGACCACAGTGTGAAAGAATGGCTTGAAAAATCCATAAAAAGTGTTAACGAGGCAGCCTCCAGAATAAAGGTACAAAAATGGCTTGAAGGATCAATGAAAACTCTTGAAGAGGCAGGAGCTGACATATCCCAACAGAACCTTGAACAATGGCTTGAAACATCCATGCAAAATCTCAATGGGAGATGCTCTGAAACATCTAAACATGAAGTGAAAGAATGGCTTGAGGCATCTCTAAGGAACCTCCAACAGCAAGGTCTTGATGCATCTAAAGTAAATTTAAAAGAATGGCTTGAGGCATCTGTAACGAGTCTTAGAAAGCAAGGTCCTAAAGAATCCATAACAGATGTGCAGGAATGGCTTGAAGAATCCATACAGAGTCTTAAGCAGGAAGCATGCAGACTAAATGTTGAAGAATGGCTTTCAGAATCCCTGGAATACCTCCAGAAAGAAGATCCTGAAGCACTGAAAGAGGATGTGAAGGAATGGCTTGAAGATTCCCTCGCAAACCTTCATGAAATATGTCCTGAAGCATCTAGACAGGCTGTAAAGAGATGGCTTAAAACATCCATGAAGGGTCTCCATGAGGTACCCAAAGAGGACCTTCAGAACTTCTTAATGACATCGATGAGCGATCTCAGATTGAAAAGTCTTGCAGCATCTAGAAAAAACAATATGGACTGGCTTAAAGTGCCAGAGTGCTTAGTGGAATCTAGAGATACCTTAGAGAAAATAAAGCACAACTTAGCTAGAAGAAAAGTATACTCGGCACAGCATGATGCCTTCGGACCCAAGAAAACCCAAACAAACTTTGAGCGAGAAGAACCTGCTGTGCCCCAGCTAATCATTTTTCAACCAAAACAGGTACATGGAAGGGTGAAAACAAGCACATTAGCCAATATTTTAGTAACTAAGTGCTAAATAACGAATTATGTTTTCTGTATTTCTTTCTGCTTTTTAAAAGCTCTATTCAAGAGTTCAAAGAAAGGGTTAATTTGAAACTGTGAGCAAGAAGAGAGTCCCACTCCTACACCACCTGCCCCTGCCTCTGCCTTCCCAGGAGGACTTTGTGAGGAGGCAATATTCTACTACACCAGTAGTGACTTATGGAGACCCTATGATTTAATGACCTTCAAAGTCATTAACAGCCCTTTTTGCAAACTAAAGACTATGGCTTCCTTTATTGAGTCAATCCATGCCATATCCCTGTTGCCTTCCACTTTTACTAGCACTATTGCCTTTTTCTCAGGTTTACTTTGATCTAGAACCCACCTATCTGTCTTTCTGGTAGTCCATGGTATCCATAAAAGTCATGTCCAACAGTACATTTTGAATGGATCTAATTTTTCCCATCAGCATTCTTCACTGTCAGCTTTCATATCCCTACAGAACTGAAAATATCATAGGATGCATCATCTTGGCCTTGGTTTCCAGTGATAAATCCTCACGCTTACAGATTTTTTTTCCAGTTTCTCCACAGTAGCTCTTTGTGATTTGCCCAATTCTGGTCAGCTCTCCTTCACTCATGTTTTCTTCCCTGGCACACAGACTGGCCTCTTGCAAAACAACTGCTTTTTTTAAACTATTGACCAGCTCTTTAACAAAGTCAACATCTACTCGCTTAGGCTGGACACAATAACTTTTAACTGAAAATCACTGAAGCACCCTTCAAAGAGATTAATGCCGATTTTGCTGCCTCCCGTTTAACTGTAACATGGGTTTTCACATAAGTGAGGCAAGGGGTGCCAAAACAGGGATGGCTTATAAAGCCCCACTGGGTATCAATGGGCAATTCCTGCCTTTTCTCTACTGAGTTGTCTTGAGGTAGGGGTGTTTGACATTTCTTTTCTCAGGTCTTGGGCCATGGTTACTGAAGCAATCCCTCAAAGGAATAAGTACCTGCACCAGGCGTTGCCTTGCTTGCCTTTCCTGTTCCCCCCCAAAAGAAGGTTGTTGGACATTCTGCAACTTTGCCACTTTAGCCCTGGGTACCCTAAATGTTACTATTTCCCTTGTCCAGGAGTCTTCTTTTACTCTCTGCTCCCACTCTTAATGGGGCTTTTCTCTTTCCAGACTAATCATTCTCAGTCAGGTGGACCTCTACTCCCTGTTCTTCCATTGCACTCTTCCAGTTCTCCTCCATGACTGCCCTCCTTCCTTTCATGCTCCCCTTCCCCACCCTTTCCTCCCTTTTTATCTCTTCCTTCTCTTTCCTACTCCCTTCCTTTAAGAGTTCTCCTTTCCTTCCCATATTTTATTCTTCCCTAGTCCATCTCCTTCTCTCTGTGGTCTCCTCTACATCTTTTTAAATGACCATTGTCTGCACCCAGTTAACAGCAGAATGCAACGCTGGGAACTCCAGTGGCCATCAGAAGAAGCACAGCAGCCTGCTGATAGGAGTCTTGTCATTCCAGAAGAAATGTTCTAACTCTTCTATAGTCACTATTTTTGTCTTCAGTTGTAATCCTGCTTTTTCAGTTCCTTCATTAACTATAAGTAGCCTTCTCACAATATTGCTGTTTCCTCCCAGTAATATTACATCATTTGTACATCTTAAAATTATTAATGTTTCTGCCACTGTTTTTCCATTTGCCCTTTCTCTGATTTTCATCCAGCTTTTTTTACATATGTTCTGCATATAGATTGAGCAGGTAGGAAAATAAAATGTATCTTTTTCTGATACCTTTGCCAAATGGAAAATACTCTCTTTCTCCATGTTCTGTCCTAACAGTAGTCCCTTGAATATAGGTTATGCATCTGGATAATCATATGTTGTGGATAATCATATGTTGTGATATATCCATTTCTTTCAGAACAATCTGCAGCTTTGCATGCTGCACATAGGCAAAGGCTTCACTGTAGCCTTAAAAGCACAAACTGATTTTATTCTGAAATTCTTTGGTTGATTTCAGTAGATATCTTGGGGGAAAGATTTCTTGCTTCCCTTTTTTGCAGTTCTTTCTTATTTCTTTGCAATGATTATTACAATAGTTATCTTTGCCACTACCTGCAAATCACTGAAAAGCTGCATTTAGGACTCTGTCTTCTGGAAGAATTGTCTTTTTGTATTTTTTCTTGATAATATCTCTAATTTCATCTACAGTACTTGTGTAGGTAATTGAGATAAGTAATGGAAATCTGTTCTTTGCATGCTTTTAAATCCTTCAGGAAGGCTATTCATATTATGTTTTGTACTGTTTTGCAGTTTTTCTTCAGCTTTATTGTAACTTTTTTATATATTTAGCAGTCAATGATCTGTACCACAGTCCACTCCTACTCTTTTTGCAGAAAGAGCAGAGATTCTCTCTCTTCTGTTATACAGACTGCTTGATTTCTGTATCAGCCATCTGGTGATGTCCATGTGTATAACCATGTGTTAGGTTTTTGAAACACGTTTGCAAGAAATAATTCTGTTGGTTGCTCTACGACTTTCTTTCTCATTTTCCAACAATGCATGATTTCCCACATTTAGGTTCTAGTCATCTATGATGGTCAGCACACCCTGCTTTGGTGTGCAATCAGTTTCCTCCTAGACTGTTCCAAATAAAGCTTTCAATTATTTTTTTCTTTAGCATCTATAGTGGGAACATAAATTTGAATGATGGCTATATTGGTTGGCTTTCAGTGAAATCCGACTGGTATTATTTGGTCAGACTTTACAGTATAGTCCCCTAGTTGTTTGTGCGGTGTCTTACCTCATTATTAGAGCCATATCCAAAGTTTGCAGTTTCCAGAGTCAAATAGTGTTTAATTATCTGTGTGGAAATGTCCACTTTTGTTCACTCACACCAAGGATTACAATTTTAAAATCCAGGTGGATAAGCTCAGGCCAAAGACTAAACTCTAGTTTTGTCCACGGCCTGACGGCTACAGTCCCATTCAACTCCTTCAAAAGAAAAGTAACCACCATGATAAAGATATCTGAGATGTTATCCGGTGCTGACAAAAACAAGAGCATAGCTCCCAGTGAACTTCCCACTTTATCTATCTATCTATCTATCTATCTATCTATCTATCTATCTATCTATCTATCTATCTATCTATCTATCTATCTATCTATCTATCTATCTATCTATATATATATTTGAATAATTAGTCCATCTAGTTTATATTTGTTCGATATTGTTTTCCACATAACTTTTAGGAAGAACGGACGTTTTTCGCTTTAATTGGCCTAACTGATGCAGGAACTTTTCAGTTGGACTGAGTCCTTCCAGGTTATTTTGTAGTCAGAAACCAAGAAGCATTTAGAAGATGTTCTAAATAAGTCAAATAAGCTACATTTAAAAAAAAACATTTTTACATTTTTAAAATGCTGGAAGTGTTAAATAATACTAGCTGACATTTTTTCCCAGTGGCTGAGATGCATTTATGAATCTGGCTTTTAGAAAATCATTGAGGGCTCTTGAAAAATCCTAAAAATTGGGTGGGAAGGACATATGACACTGACCCTTCATTTAAATATTTAATTTCTTCTTTTACTGTTTCAAGCTTGGCTTGATTCATATTCCTTGCACTTCACGTTCCAAGTATATGAACTGTGCATGGTTGAACATTCCTTTTGTCTCTCTATGTATAAGCAAATAGGTATTCTGTTGGCTTTAATCCAATTGCTTCATTAATGACAGCACTATTTGTACTTTGCTGTTCCCCAGTAGCTGATTGAGTGCCTTTTGACCTCAGAGTCTCATCTTTCACCACTATCTCTTGTTCCTTTCAGATTGTCTCATTGTGGAGTTTTCAATGTATTAAATAAGTGTGGATTGTGATCACCTTCTTCTAACAAGGGCTATCTTGTCACTATTGTCGTCCATGAAAAATCCCTCACCCATGTCACTTCCCATTACTGTCTGGTGACTGTCTTTCAAGAATTTTCGCACCTCAGTCACTTCTGAAACTATCAATTATGTTCCACTGATATGACTATCAATTTCTGACAAGGGTCAATGTGTTTTAGTCTGGTGTTCGAGCTTTGATCCTTCTGCCTTGGATCACTATGCTTAGAGTCTAGACTTGAAACAGAGGCTAGCTTCCTTGTAATATTGCTCTCAGATTCCCTGACTCCCCCTCTCCCCCAAAACACTAAAGTGTATATCCAAGGAGAGGATCCAAGTGGTTGGGGATGGTTCCTGACTCCATGGAAAGACTTCATGTTTAGCAGATTATTTTCTTTCATGGCTGTCCTTCACAGGAAGAGCAGCAAAAGGTAGTCGGCTGGGCGAAAAGACTCTTCCTGCTCATGCTGTCAAATTAACCTTTTTTTTTAAAAAAAAAATCTCTCAGTAGGGCTATATAGTTTTCCAAAAGTAGGGCTAGAGATAATACTTTCCATGCCACCAGGGCAAATTCTTGTTAGGAAAGGAAACTGGTGACAAGAACCAGTGTTAAATCCAGATTTTGTTCCAAGCAAACAAAAGTTTGCAGCTAGAATAATTTAGGGCTGCAAATCTTTAGGCCACAGCCACATACCTGGAAAAATGGGTGGAATGCAGAGTGACTTTTGTCATAGCATATGACCCAAGCCTTGCCGCAGTTAAATTGGTCCCAGCTTACACCATTTGTAACTACAATAGGGCTTCCTCTGCAGTCAGCTGGGCTTGTCCAGTGGCTGGATAGTGGTGGCTGGGAGTGCAGAGGTGGTGGCAGCAACAGCAGCAGCAGCCACAGCAGCGGATCTGGCAGCATCTTTGATGGCTGTGGAGATCCACACACATCCCACTGCTGCTGCCAACATGCTCCTTAGACACTGTTGCTGCCATCCAGCTGCATGAAACACACACATTGACGATGTGTGTTTCCTGTGGTTTCACTCTGGTGTGCATATTACCCACAGTAAAAAAAAAAAGCTCACTGCAGGTTACCTGCAAACATGTAGTTCCTGCCTTAGAGTATCATTGAATTCAAGATGGTTTATTTCCAAGAAGACATGTGTAGGACTGCATTCTCAGTTTAGTTGCATTGATTCCTTCTGCTTTCAGGGTTGTGTCATTCTAAAGATTTTTTTTCCCCAAGGAGGAGAGTGAGGGTGTGAGAGGACTACAAGGAAATGAAAGGGAGGGAGGAAGATGTCAGAGCGTGGGAGGGAAGGTGAAAAATCGCAGTCATTGGGATAACATGAGAGGGAGGGTAAACACCAGCAACTGCAGGACAGTGGTGCATATTTGTCAGCTGTCTTAAGTGCCACTGAGATTCCCACTTACTCTGCCTTCTGCACTTTCACTAGTCATTGTAAATTTGCAAGCTTTTTCTTCATCATAAAAATAAACCAGGGGAAATGAGGACATGATCTGAGAACAAGGCTTATGGATAAGCAGATGTTTTTCATGTAGAAGGTCCTAGGTTCAATTTCTGACATATTCAGGTAGAGCTTCAAAACAAACCTGAAGAGCTGCTGCTGGTCAGTGTAGTCACTACAGAGCTGGATCAGATCTTTGGCACCCAAAGGACTGCTTTCCTCCACATAAACCTGTCTAGATATTGAGATCTTCTGAGACATAAATCACTAAAAATTAGTAATTTATTAATATGTTTAATTAGATCTGGAACATTTCCAAATGCAGAATTCTTCAGACATTGTTGTCATTCAATATGCTTGGCAAATAATTTGTGTGAGGGCAACAAAGGAGGAACAGGAGGTGTGAAGACCAGCACAACTTATTTCTTGTTCAGTGGGCAGGCTGATTTTGAAAAATCACACATGAAAGCTGTGCATGGAAAAAGTTCCAGAAAGTAAAGTATATAATCCTTTAAAAACAAATTTTTCTAATTTACATTTTGTAGAATGTTGACCTGAGAAATGGAAATAGTTGCATTGATTAATGTAAGAAAGTGCAGAGTACAAGTATCACCTCTATGAAATAAGCTTGGGACATAACAGAACTTACCTGTAAACAGACTTGTGAATTCTTTGAACTGCATTGGAACTATTAAATTCAAATGTGCTGCTCATAGAACAGTCATACTTGTGAACTGTCCATATGTTACATTTGCTCACAGATGTGAAATGTCTGTCTCTTAATCCCCATGGGGATAACTGGAATAAACTTGTAAAGATTTAAATGGGACAAAAATTCTTTAGCTCAAACCATTATTCTAAGGCAGTAATACAGCAGAGTTTTATGTCTGATGAAGTGGACTTGTCCACGAAAGCTCACAAAAAGTTAGTCTTTAAGGTGCTGTCACATTTTTGTCTTTTTCTTTTCACTTTTTTCTTTTGTTTTCACCTATAGTGCTTACACAGACTAACATGGTTACCCTTTCTACAATAATCACCTTTTCTTTATTTCCTTTCTTATCCCTTCCCACTGCCTGTAGGCTTTAACCAGGCTATGGAACATCATCTTATGGTACAGGTATGTAAATTCTAAGGTTTGCTGGACAGAAGCTTTCTTGTATTTCTGGTAGTAGCTGAAAACAAAAGACCTTAAAGCTTAACTTCAAATCCTACAGTCTTAGAAAGAGGACTAGGACTGAAAACTCAGCACACAGCTTGGATGTTTGAAGCCTCAGTGTAAGCAAGAACAAGGACTGGGTTGATAGAAAGACTTTACTGCTTGCATGGTACATGAATTCAGGTGGGTGCTGTAATTAACACACCTAAGTTTCTGGAAGCTGCGTGCATTTGTAAACGCCCCGACCCTTTCCTTGAGCAAAAATTATTTGATTTTGGAAGCTACGGGTCACTCATATATACACAGCTTCCCCAGCAGTTTTTCATTCTGCAATTCTTTCCTTTCCCTGTGAAATATTGTTTCCAACATAGTGGGGGATTTTTAAAATTCTTATTCCCTTATCCAAACAAACTCTTGCCCAGAATCCCATTCTCTGTGTCCAGTGAACATAGCTGTAACCCGCCAAGGGCTTCCAGTCATTATTTCCAGACATGATTTTGCAGCCAGTAATTATTTCACCAATTTAAATCAGAATTTATCAGCACATGCCATAGGACTGAATTAACAGCTTTGTAGACTCAATGTGACAGTAGATGTGTTTTCTTATAGGGAAATGAACTAAGAATAGTGTATACAGAGTAACTGAAATAACAATTATTTTGTGCCTTCCTGTCAATTCCAACTTATAGTGACTATCCCTGCCAGGGCTTCCTAGGTAATAAAGTAATTAGAAGTGGCTTCCTATTCCCTTGTTCTATGAGGGCTCTGGGAGTGTGCAGCTGGCTCAAGTCTATATAGGCTGGCTCTTCTCCCAGGAGGCACAATGGAGAACTGAACTCCCAACCTAAGTCAGGACTGCAGAGTGAACCTAATATTTGCAGTCGGAGGAGATACTTGTTCTGCTGTTGACATAAGCAAGTTCCAGTCATTCCCATACATGATGGGAAATCATATTTTCTTCAGTAATCCAGTGCTTGCTTCACTGGGGTCAAATATATGTTTTCTTAAGGAGTGTTGCATTGTCTGCATCCCTCACTAAATGGGGAAGAGCAACAACAACAATAATAAAACAGCATTGTGTTGGATCCAGGCTCCCTTCTACTTCAGGCAAGCCAAGGCTTGTTATCGTGACTACCTGAAGTTCCATTTATTTCAATGGGCTTGCATTTAAGTATGACTAAATCTGGCCCTAGCCATTGTGTGTTGAAATCCTAAGTGAAAAAAAGTCTGGTGTTAAAAGACCTAATGGAAAAGCTAAGAAGGTAAAGGTTTCTTTCCTAACCAGTTGTTTTCTTCCATTCCACCCCCCCCCTCCTCTTTTCAGGACTCACCCCTTGAAATTCTTCAATCACCTTCTGTGCATTCTCATTCCCTTCATGCTGCTGGTTGCCGTCTACAAATATTACCAGCAGTGCTGTATAACCTGCTTATTCCAGCGTGGCCTTAGACCTCACTAACCATACCAGCTCTTGGCAGCATCTTGAAAATACAGAGGGATTTTGTTATATTTCATCTGGAATTGCAGTTTTGGAAAATAATACCTTCTTACAAGATTACATATGGGATAATAGCATTTTGTTCTTCTTTCCCTAATCGCAACGGTTACACATCTTGACAGAATCTAAGACCTTTGTCTAGAACAGTAGATGGATGGAGTTCCCGCAGTACTGCGCTGATGCAGGTATTTTAATAATTAGGGGGAGAATTTTGATGATATTTTACATTTTCTCTACAACCTACATTTGAACCCATAAGCAAATTCAAAAATGTATATGAATAATTTGACCATTCTCACCAGATTAGTCATAAACATGTTCAAACATAGGTCCAGCTACATTTTAACATCACCTAAATCTAGAAGAGCTTAACCAGATTTAATGTGTTCCCTTCTAATCTCCTAGAAGGGAGACTTCAAGACATACCCTATTCTGATCATTTATGTCCTTGCGATGGCGGTGGAGTAGAAACAGTGAGGCATGTTGTCTTATACAGTACTGTCATTTCTATCGAGATCTCCACAGGGATATTCTCTCCCCTATTTTTCAAAACTTTCCAGGGAGATTCGACAAATTTTATATTCTTTTGCTGCTCTCGGATAAGTTTTCTTACATTAGTAGTAAAGTGGCCAAATACTCTGCTGCCGCAATAGCTTGCCGCAGTCTCCTGACCACATAAGGTCTTCAAGTGCCCCCACCCTTGTTAGAGATGTCTTGTTTAACTTGCTTTCTAGGAGAGTTGGGGTGGTATACAGATGGTTATATGTGTCTCCTAATTTCATCCTATACCACGTGACTGCTGTGATGTTTTAAAAGCTTTTACATCCTTCAGTGCTGCTGGCTAACTCAAAACGTCTTTTTTAACTTTAATGTTGTAAAAGAGCCAGAGGGTACATTGATGGTGTTATGTCTTGACCAATGTCTCTGATATTATGTGATTTTATCTAAATTATGTATTCTTATCTTCCTGGTCACTAGCCGTAATAAATTATTATTATTACACTTTATCTTGTTTAAGAGGACACAAAAACAATTTATATATTTTAAATCCTGCGTTGTTATTAAAATTAGAAAAACTATGTGTGAGATTTTTAAAATGAAATAAAAACAGAGCCTCCTGTTTTTTTTTAAAAAAGTGGCAGGCTTCAAGGGAGTTTTTTTTTTCCCGAGTGAAGACACCATTCCCTAGCAACCACTAACAAAATAAAATTAAGCTCATTTTTACTTTGACCATAGAAGACACTTACCAAAGGGAGTTCAGGAGTCAAAAGGGCTCTGCCATCAGCCAAGGTTAAAATCCTCTGTATCACAGCACATGTGCTAACATTACATGCCCATCCCGTGTTTTCGCCCATGAAGCCGTTTCTCTGTTCCTCACCAATGCCCTCAAATAACTACTTTCCTTCAGCAGCTGAGTTTTAGAAATAGATTCATGGACTAGCAATTCTACATTCTATTTTTAGTTTGCCTCACAGCATTTTCTATCAGTCAGTTCACAGCCAGTGGTTCATTTTATCCTCATGACTAGAAAGGAAATATCCTGGGACAATAAGTCTGTGATCACACTGGCAATCTGAATTCAGACTTTTGAAAAATCAGATTCAAGTCATGTGGTAATTAAACCAGTGGCTGTATTCACATGCACTGGATGGAAATAGAGTTATTTCTGGTTATTTAAACCATTGTTGGAGTTTACACTAATAGAATTGACTTCCTTTTTGCTTTAGGAGCATGCTGTTCTTAAAGGTTTTATTTTTTCAAAAACAAAAGTGCTACACCAATAAATGGAGTATCTAGTAGATTCCACCTGGTGTCATAATATTAGAAACCATGGAAGTAACACCAGAGAGGTGACTCCAGCTGATTAATGATGAAAAAATGAGAAGGGAGTGGAGGAAGACCTCCAGCAGCTATGGACTGGAATGCTCTTGGCATGCAGACTGTCCTCCATGTCCAGGCATGTCCACTTTGCACCTAGTCTGTGCCCACTGGTCTTCTGCTGCTCCACTAGCTCCTTCACAGCCAAATGCTGAGAACATGCCAGATGGCTGTAATGCTGAATGTACTGGAGTGGTGCAGCAATAAACATTTTAAGAAATAATTTTTTAAAAGTTAAAAGGGAAAATGGCTGTGCTGCTACTACCACCCAAACACGACATAGGCACAAACTAAAATGGCAGCAGTGTCCACATCTACAAAACCACATTGATCTACCAAATTGATTTTAAAATTGATTTTAGAAGCGAGGTATTTTGTAAAGCTCTGTTGGCCAGTTGAAAAAAATTCACTTTGCAACCCATATAAATCAATTTCACCCTTGCATTGTGTGAATGATAAAATCTAAATTGGTTTAAATGACTCTTAAACATGGTTCTTATTGCCAGTGTGACCACAGCTTAAGTTGCTGGGAAGAGGTGTGAGCTGTCTCAGGCCAGCTCTAACACGAGACAGCAGATTCTGGGTGTCATGAAAGGTCAACAAATTGCTAAGCCACTTCATTTCTTATTCCTTTATTTTCACTACGAGGGAGGGAAGAGATTCCTACTTGTGGGATTTTCTTCCTCATACAGCAAAAGAACTTGACTGGCTTTGCATTCTGTGAATCTTCACTTTCAGTTAGCTAAATGTTTTGGGTTGGCCCAACAAGGACAGTGCAAATCCTTGTAAGAAATCTTTAATAACTGTCGCTGCCATGCATTTCAGTACGATTATGCATATAGTACTGAAATCCTTGTATGTGCACATATACATACACGCAAGCATAACAGAAACTTCTGCTATTTATTTGTTTGTTTGTTTGTTTAGTATCCCTCTCCCACCAGTGTCACAGCACTACTCTGGGTGGGTTACAACTCGTAAAATAGAAAACAAAAACAAAAATAGAAATATTAAACCGATAGCAAAAACCCTAAACTCTTTTTTTCTGGAGTAGAACGAAATGCAGCTAAAGAGAGAAGAAATGTGGGAGGAACTGAAGTTAAGGATGAGAATAACAGTCTTTGAAGCAGGGAAACAGACAATGGGTAAGAAGGAAAATAGCAGAAAATGCTCCTGTGTCTCTTCTTCTGTTTCCCTCTAGTGGCAGGTAGTCATTTGTGCAAACATGGTTGTTCCTCCTTTTTACCCCTTCAAAAATTTCAGTGGTTGAAATCCTGTTCATTAATTATCCAAAGACTTAAATTTTGAAGATGAATTGCCTCAAGCTAAGAAATTGTCACTGGCATGATCTGTTGCATACCCAGTCATAACTCAGAATGCAACAGATAATGTATGCTGAGATTTCTTAACTTGAGGCAATTCACCTCCAAAAGTTAATGCCTTTTGTGTACAAACAAACAAGAGTTCAGTTAATGGGTCATCTCTTAGCATTCAACCCAATGTTTACAGAAAAGGCATTATTCTCTGAATATTTCAGCTTTTGAAATAGTTTATTCATTCAAGATTAAACCACCCCTCCCATATGTATATGATTATAGTTTATTTTTCTTTATCAGTTTTTATTCCATCACTTTGGGTTTCTGATCTTATCATGTTTGGAAGAGTTTCAAGTTAAAAGTTAGTAGAGGAGATAATGAAGAAACCTGGACTAGTCTATCTCTGTAAATACAGAATGTTAGGATGTGATCAGACAGCGAAAAAATCATGTCTGATTGCACTGGAAATGGTTGCTGTGATGGACAGGTCAGTAACTACTCCTGTCCATCATAATGGAACTCTGATTTAGCAACCAATGGTTGAACAGAAGGGGCGGAACCAAGGAAATATAAGAAGAGAATAGAAGCCAGTTAAAGATCAGTTAGGGACTTCAGTTAGGGATATCAGTTGAGGATTTCATTTAGGGATGAGTAAGAGTTAGAGTTAGGATTTTAGTTGGTCATGAGTTAGAGAAAGAGCTGGATAGTCAAAGTTAGAAGTGAGAATAGTAATAAGTAAATGCACATGTTGATTAAATAGCAAATAATTAAACAAAAGAAGACATTGCAATGATTGTGATTCTGAATAAATAAAGAACATCTGTAACTTTAATAAAAACTTTCAATAATTGGTAGCCTGTGTTGGAGTGAAATAATTTACATTGCGGATTAAAAGGAATCCACTGGTGGCAGTGGAAAAGAGTGAAAATTAAGTGTCATGCCCGAAAGGGAACCCGGGTTGTGTAGAAGAACAAACAGGGGAACTTCAGGTGTGTGTGACAGTTGCTTTCTCCCTTAGAGTGACCCTTTCATCTGTGTGAGAATTCTTCCAGCCTGCCCCCCCCCCAAACAAAGGTAGCACTGCTGCTGGATCAAAAAGGTCCAGCTTGGGCACAGATCAGGATCGGGCTGGTTCATGATTTTATGCATGTCATGTGGCCACCAGGAAACAGCTCCCACCAGACAGTGCCACAAGTGGTCCAAAATGTTATCTATTTCCTGTCTGATTAAATCCTCAGATAGCATGCCAATATTAATTATAACTCATGATTAAGAGTTAATATAACTCTTCCATATTACGCCAAGCGTGAACACTAGGAAACCTTCCAGTGTAACCTTCTGGTAATTATATAGAATCTTCATCTATTTCCTATATATGGAAAGAAAAAAGATTTCAGAAGAACAAATATCCCTCATAAACTAACACAACTGTATCCTGGTTATTGTGTAGGAAACACTTCGGCTGTCCCTGGTAGACCATCTGCCTCAGAACCACCCCCACCCCCACCGACCCTGCCCAAGGCAGTCTGAGGCCATAGAAGACAAGAGCATGGCCCCAGATGGGAGTCAGGAGGCATGTGAGCTGCCAATGGCGGGTAGGGCAGAGGCCAGGATGGGTTGGCAAGACTTAGAGGAGGAGGAGGAAGAATGGGATAACTCATCACCCTCAGCAAAGTCAGAGGGGAAGGACTAGGCAGAAGCCTCAGAGGAGTCCCCTCCATTCAGTTCGGACCTTCAGTGAGGGCTGGCCATTGCTGTTACAGAATCCCTGGATGGTTGGTGAGATCCACTTCCCCAAGGTTAAAGGACCTGGGGGAAGAGTTCTGGTAGTCATCTAATC